TAGACACAAATCAGAGTACAGCGACACAACGAGCAAGTGAAGCGCAGGAGGAAAGAAGGGAACGAGACGCTACGTGCACGAAAAACACGAGGAATGCGCCACACTCCGTACGTTCTGTTGCTGCTGCTGCTTCTCTGCTGTTTTACCGGTTGTTTCGCCGCCACTGAGCATATCTGCATATTTGACCGCATTTCTCGCAAGGCTGGTCCCCCGCTGAGGGCAATTGTGCGTGAATTGCCGGACCGGGAGCGTGGCGGGACGCAGGTGTTGACTGCCTCTGTGTCTGACTGGGCGCCCATCCGTTTTAAGGTCTTCTCGGAGGACATGAACAATCCTTCCAAGTACTGCACCGCTGCGGGAGACTTCCGCTCGGACCTTCTGGCAAGAACACTTTTTTGCCGGCAGCAGGATTTTTTTACGGCCGAAAAAAAGTCCATCATCTTGAATCGGATGCTTCCCGAAGCCATGCAGCTGCACATCGATCGTCTCCACGTTAAACCAGAGATGCGCCCAGTGGTTGTTCCGTTTTTTTCGTCTGGAACACCATGCGGTAAGTTTGAGATACCCAGCTCTCACCACACGGCGGGTGTGTACGGCGCGGACATGGTTTTGTACGCTGCTGCTGCCCCGATTGAAGGCACTACTTTGGCATGGGCAGTGAGGTGCTTTGAATTGCCCGATGGGCGTCCTGTGGTTGGGGTGATAAACATTGGCCCGCATTCAGTCACCGATTCGGAGTTCAGTGTTCGTGTTGCGGCGCATGAGATTGCGCACGCGATTGGTTTTGGTACGAATGTTTTTGAGGAAAAAGAAATGATAAAGACGATACCTGAGGTTCGTGGAAAGAAGAATGTGGTTGTTGTGTCTTCACCCAAGACGCTGGAAAAGACTCGTGCGCACTTCAAGTGCACAAGTGCCCCTGGAATGGAGCTGGAGGATGAGGGTGGGGGTGGAATGGTGTTGTCGCATTGGAAGAGACGCAACGCGAAGGATGAGCTGATGGCTGCCATTAACGGTGCCGGCTACTACACGGCGCTGACGATGGCTGCTTTTGAGGACATGGGCTTTTTCAGGGCGCAGTGGAGCATGGCGGAACAGATGTCATGGGGCAGCAACTCCGGCTGCGAACTGCTGACGGAGAAGTGCCTGACTAATGGCGTCACCCGGTACCCGGAAATGTTTTGCAGCTCTCCAAGGAATCTTATGAAATGCGCATCGGATCGTCTTGCCCTGGGGAGGTGTAAGACTACCACCTTTCCAAACCCCCTTCCCGCAACGTTTCAGTACTTCACGAATCCCAGACGCGGTGGGTTGTTGGGCGACCTAATGGACTACTGTCCCTACATTCGCCCGTTTAGAAACACGCATTGCGTCTATGGTGACGCAGACGTTATGCGTGGAAGCCGCATTGGCCCAAGGTCAAGGTGCTTCAAAGTGGATGGGCTGCGTGATTCTTTTGGTTTCACTGGGGACGTGTGCGCCGAGGTGTCGTGCGACAACGATACGGTGAGTGTGCGGTACCTTGGGGATGACGTCTGGCATGCATGCCCAGAGGGCAAACGTATCACACCAAGTGGGCGGTTCAGGGGCGGGAAGATTGTGTGCCCGAGGCGTATCGAAGTGTGTCCGCAACTGCAAAAGAATGGAGGTGACAGAGAAGATGCCAATAAGGGCACAGACGGTGGCGCCAAAACCGATCCGAATTTGGACGTAACTCACCTGCACAGTGTTTTGTTTCCTCTTGTTTCCACTGCTTTCTTTTTTGTGGTTGCTGTTGGGGCAGTTTGGTAAATACTGGAAGCGAACTGTTTTGAATCATAATTGCATACTGGGGGCCTTATATTGTGGGCTCGGTTTGATATATTTTTAAATCGGTTTCTTGGGTGGCCCTCTAACAAGATGGGCGCCATCTAAGGCAATCGGTGTATAATCCGTTTTTTTTTTGTGTGTGTGTTACTGCGGCCATAGGAAAAATTTTGTTTGTAGATAATTCTTCGTGCATAATAGTGCGATATGTTGAAATCTATTTCTTTTTCAAAAACTTTTTTTGTGTGTGTTTTTTTTGTTTTACGCGACCGCGTTTGAAGGAGGCGCGGATAGTTCTTTGGCTCCCTTCTCCCTCACCGACCCACTACTACTGTAAGTACCGGCTCAGATGAGATGCGTGCGGCGGCTGCGGGGAATTCCAAAGCACTGCCACTTTGTAGCTTTTCAGCGGGGGCTTTGTGGTCATAAGGAGTCTTGATGAATTTGTTTGTTTTGCAGATGAGCAGAAGAGATGCAAATGTTTTATGTAAGATGAACATTGAAGCGCATTCAAGCTATATTGTTTTTCTTTTTACTTGTAGGGGGCGTTTCAGGGTTCCACGCTGGCGCTCATTATATGCGGCGGTTGACCGCTGCTGTGTCGACTCCGCGTTGCAAATGTAGGGAAGCACCATATAACTTTGGTTTACGTCAGTTCCCCACCCACTCCTTTCTCATCGTGTGCAGGCGCCGCCGTGGTGTGGGAGAGTCACGGCAAGCAGCGATGTTTCTTGAGCTGTGCGGGCGGGCACGGACTCGGCAGGTCGTTGTTTGGCTGCTGTGGTGCGAGGGGGTGATGGCGAATGTGTTGGGTTTGGTCGAGGGCTGGTGCTATTTTTGTATTATATGCTTCTTCCTTTTGTTTTTTTGTCTGAAGGTTTGTCTGAAAGGAAGGCGCTGGTGCTGAAGGCATGTGGCCGTGTTTTGTTTTTGTGAGCGGACGCCGACGGAGAGGCCCGTCCCGACGTTGTGTGTGTTTTGACGCGGGGCAATAGTCACTTGGGCCCCATCCTGGTGGTGGTGCCTGCGCGTCTCCCGTGCTTTGGATGACGTGT